AACAAACCTAATTACCTAGCCCTCCCCCCTTAATCAGTCATGCCAGCCCACAGGAGGCTGTCAAAAAGTTTGGTAGATTTTTCTTCTGTGTGTCTTTCCTAGGGATGAAAGCAACTGTTTCTTTCTGTTCACAGAAGGGCTCCTCAGTTTGTGGTGTGTAGTTAATTTAGATTTTCTCAGCTCTGTGAAGGGGGTGAAAGTTACTTTTAAACTAATCCAGCTTGTTTTCATTTTTAAGGTGAGACCGATAGTTTCTCACATTATCCCCTTTTAAATAGTTGGAATAAATGATTGCTTTGAACTTTTAAAAATTATGTGGGACACATAACCATCTGTAATTATCTGTCGGTATGCCTAATTATACTTCCTAGCACATAGTAGGCTCTCAGTATTTATTCAAAGAATTAATATTGTTTAATCCTTAGTATATTTTCTTTCTGAGAACCCATCAAACAATTTGGTTATTAGATAATGTCTCATCTTTTATTTCTTAAAATCCCTAAGATGTGTAGTTTGTAGTCAGTTAGAGCAGTGTTTTAACGCTGAATGGTTATGAGATACATTGAAGTTACACATTTCTTTCTTTTTTTTTTTTGGTTCCTTAATCCATTTCATTAGGAACTTGTAAAATAGAATCTTTCAATGATTATTTACTATCTTTCATTTTTTTATGTGGAAATGGGAAAGTTGCTTTTGAACATAGAACTTTTGTGTTAAAATTATGTAATAAGTCTAGCAATGCAGGGTGAATTATGCACTCAGTATTACTTTAGAATTTGACTTTCATTTTAGTATTTGTAATGGAGTAGGTGAAGGATTTGGATGTGAGAATTGAACTGCTTAGAAAAAATTTCTCTATGTTGATTTTAATTAGTTTGCATATATTTGGCATTAAAAAATGTTTGGAGGCCATCCTGGCTCTAAAATTCTTGTGATATTCCTGGATTATTTCCTTACATGCCGTTTTTATTAAGATGCAGCATAGCTGATGACAGTGATCTGGTGATAGAGAGTTGCAAAACCAGACAGTCTGGATTTGTATTTTTAGCTCTGCTGTTTTAGTTTTTTAATGCCTGTGACTGTGTTTTCTCATCTGTGAAAATGAGGAGAAATAGTTTGGAGGTGTAGTAAGTTACTGCATATAAAGTTCTTAGGACAGTGTCAGATAGTAATCACTGTATTAAGTTTTAACTATTATTAATGTGATAAGGAACTAATTTTAATCAAAACCTTAAAATACTTAGAAAGTGTACCTTGTATGTTGTAAGTGTTCAATATTACCTAGTATTTGTTATTTTTGTGACTTTGTTATGACTTGTTAGATGTAGAACTAGAACTGTTAATCACATCCTTGTGGGTCAGGATAGTCGCCTAACCCCTTTATTGTGGTATCTATTAGTTAAATTATTGGTGTATCTGAGACTGGATTCTAAATTGAGAGACCTTTGGCTTGAGAAAGACCTTGTATTAGAGCCTCAATTTAAAGCCTTAAAATTTTCCCTTACTTTTGTTAATGTTTGAAGATGTTGATAGTGGTGTTTGTATCAGGGTGTAACAAGTGATATGTAGTTAGTTCATTAGTTTTTTCAATGTGAACTGTGACTAAAAATTGTCCTAATGCTAAATAAAAATTTCTTATGTTTGTTGTAGAATATGTAGAAGTGCAAAAGCAAAGAGAAAGTGAAAAAATTACTAAAATAAGTGTTTATTTTTCTTTATGCATATATGCTAACAAAAATAAACTAAAAATTATGTTGTGAATTCCTTTTCCATTTCTCTGGAAAATTTTATCTAACCATTTGCTTCTTGGACATTTGGTTGGTTTCCAGTTTTTTTCTATTAGTGATTCAGTGAATATCAAAATAAGATGTCTGTATCTATGCATTCATTTGTAGTTTATATAATTGTTACTTATAATTAGAAACTTAATCATTAGGTAAAATGGTTTACATGTTTTTAATGTTTATTGTAAATTTGCTTTCCTTATGCCTCTTCCTGTTTAAACCCCTGACTACCATATGTGAGAATATACTGATTTCATAGCCAGATAACCTTTTCAGTTTTTACCAATCTGATGGATAAAATAGTATCAGTGCTAAGTTTTTTTTTTTTTTGGCCAAGTACTGCACAAAAATTAAGAGCATTAACCTATGTAATCTCTTTCAATTTTCTTAGCAAGACTATTACCTTGTATGTATCATGATTTCCTGTTTGAAATGAAACTAGAAGAGACAAGTAACTTGGATAAAGTTATACTCATAAGGGGCAGGTCCAGGCTGTAAGCCCCATTTTGTGTTGGATTCACTAATGGGTGATGCATTTATTCAGTAAATGAATGTTTACCATGTTCAGAGTTCTAGGGATACCAGTGTGGATGAGATGGACAAGGCTCCTGCCTTCACGGAATTTAGGCCTAAGGGATGAAGCTGTTTGGAAGCAGCTGACAGGTTACTCTCATACAAATTCAGATGGGTGATGAGGATTGGGAAGGGAGGGTGAATGGAGGTACCAGGTATTTCGGATGGGTGGTGAGGGTTTTGTTGACAGGGTAGCATTTGACCTGCATGATGAAAAGGGGGCAGCCATGTGAAGATCAGAGGAAAGGGTGGTCACCATCAGCCTTAACCCGCTTAACCTCTGACCCAGCAGTTATGTGCCTAGGACTTTTTTTAAGGGAGTAAGTTTATTAGCTGTTGATAATTCAACTTTTCTGAACTGCCTTTTTATATCTTTTACCTGCTTTTCTGCTGCTGTCTTACTGTTTTGTAAGAATTCTCTATGTATATAGGTTATTCTTTAATCTGTCACATGTTCTAAATTCCTTTTTCCAGTTTGCAGGGGGCTTTTTAGCTTTCTTTGGAGGTTGTTTAGAGGTTTAAGATTTTTAATTTTGTTACGTCTGTTAATCTTTATTTTGCCTTTATGGTTTGTCCTTAAAATCTTTCTGTACTAGAAAGTTATGAAGGCCAGTATTATGTTCCTATTCGTTAATATTTTTTCTAGGCCATTTGTAATTTCTTTTTTACTGTCTTTATGTAGAGTTTATTTTAGCATTTGGCCGGTGTGACATATGGATCTAACCTTTTCCAGATTGTCAATTTGCACGCACCATCTGCGTCATCTCCTTACCAGAGAATGCAGTCATTATCATTTCCTAAATTCTTTCTGACTTTCCTCTGTGGATTTTTTCTGTGCTATTTTAATGATTGAGCTTTTATAATATAGTTTATTACTTAATGAAATTTTTCTTTCAAATTCCCTTTTTTAAAAAAAATCAGCGTTTTAGCTGTGGTCATTAAATACAATGTTGTACTTTAAGCTGTTAAGGAATTAGGAAGGAATTTGTTCTGAACTATACCTTAAACAGTAGCTGTGTAGCTATGGGTGCTTTCTTACTTTTTATTTCCTATTCGTTTGGGAAGTAATATTTCTGTTGTGAGTACTTAATTGCATTTGCTTAAGTATTTCAGACATTTCAGGACTCAGCAGCTGAACCTAGAATCTCTATCAAGTACATTTCTTTTATTTGATTCTATAAACTCTTGATTTGTGTTTGTATTGCATGTTATGAATTTGTTTTAAAGACATAGCTAAAATGAATAGGTTTTATTTCTTTTGGTCATTTGGAATATGACAAACTTCTGGGTGAAAAAATGAACTAAGTCTGACTAGGAGATGTTTTGCATTAATGTTGATATCTATGGTCTTTACTATGTTCATGTGGCTGAAATTGTTATTTGACCAAGAACTTTATTATTTCATATCTTCTGTATGCTGAAGCATGTTTAAAATACATATGTTTTACTACGTTGATTGCCACGTCACTCAAATTTGGGTGGCAGTTGTGTTTCCTCAGGGGCACCCAGTCCACAGTGGGTGATCAACATGTTGAAGTGTGCCTGTCTCTTCTGTTTTAATACATCTTGTGAAACTATTTTTTAAAATGAAGTTTGACTTTTTTGAGAATATTTCTTAATTAAGTTCTGTGTAGGAGCCAGACTTTAATTAGTCCTTGCACGTTTTGATCATATTCTGCTTAGAAAATTCTGCTGTTTTGATTTGGTACAAGGAAATTCTCAAGATGAGTGTTTTCGTTTCAAAAGTCAGCTGCTGTATGGATAAAGTCCCAGAGAATTTTGCATTCTGTGTTTTATCTTTTTCAGATGATCTGATGGTAGGTCTAGAAACAGCAGGAGAACTCCCCATCAAGAATATCAAAAATCTTACTTTTTTTTGTCTTATTGAATAGTTTGTAATTTGGGAAAGCTTATATCGTCTAGAAAGAAGGGGTCATTGTTTTGCTGAAGGAGGAAGAAAATGAAATTAGCAGATTACATAGGAAGGCTAACTAAGAATACGTCCCATTTAACGTTGGAGTCAGCATTGATAGCATTTTCCAGGCAGGCCTCATTTTATTGACATGGCTGGTGGGTGACTTTGCTATAGATGTTCACGTTGGTGGACATGCTGTTACGGTTTGTGAGGTTTTGCAGCGCATGAAAAGGGGCTTATAGAAAACTTTATTTGCTTAGAAGGAGTGGCTTAAGTAATAATAAAGATACATAATGATGTTTTACAAGTCTGTAGATGGAATTGATGCAGTGATTTAATGGTGTCATTAATGAATGTCTGTTTGGGTGGCCTTGATGTTTTGGCTTTTTTTCCCTCAGACTCTTAGTTTTACTGTTGCTGAATGATTCTTGCAGTTCTTGCCATCAAATCCTAGAAATGATGGGAGGGAAGGATTCTTTTTTCCTGTGACTATTTTACTTTATTACTTTTTTGTTTTTGTTGTTGTTAAATTTTTTGTGTGCGGATGGTAGTTAGGTTTATTTATTTATTTATTTTTAATGAAGGCACTGGGGATTGAACCCAGGACCTTGTGCATTCAAGGCACGTGCTCTACCATTGAGCTATACAACTCCCCTGCCTTCTGCCCCCATGACTGTTTCATTAGGGAGAACTTTTCCAGGAACACTGCCCCTGCCTCAGGAGATTTCTTCTCTGTCATTGGCCAGAACTAGATCACATGGCCTCCTAGTTTATGAAAGAATCTGGAAAAGTAAGCTAGTGTTAAAGTAGGGAGGTAGTGGCTGTTGGGTAAGCAAGCAGTCACTGCTCTGGGAAGCTAAAAATAGTTAACTTTTTTGAATTAAAATGCATTTAAATGCTTTTTCACACCAATACTAGAACATTTCTCTGTCTAGGTTCTTTCGTATATACTAAGTGTTAAGCTCTTTTTTTCCTCTTATTTCTTTGGGACTATTTATCCTGTCATTGACTACTAAACCTGTACTTCTTTATAGAGCTTAGAAAAGAGGCCAAGAACATCTGTCTCATCAGAAGCTGAGGGGAGTTACTTAAGCAAAGAAGACACTAAATTTTTTATTTTACATAAAAGGCAGTGATCTCTGTCCCTTCCTTGTGTTTTATTGTTATATGGTACCTTTCAATGTTATAGGAATTATGGTATAATAGTTTACTTATACATTTTCCATTGCAGGATTTCTAGATATAGTTTAAAATAATTTGAGGGGAAGCTGAATGTCAGACAGGTGCATATTAAAGGTATTAAATATTCCTCCTGGATCCTAATTAGATTACAATATCTCTTTACAGAAAAAGCTACTTTTTTCCTGTAACTTTCCAATTAGTCAGGTTATCTAGACCCTACTACCACTCTTTGTAACTGCTTCCCTGGGCTTGAAGGGGCTCATGCTCACAGCAGTATTTGGCAATAGTGATATTAATACAAGTGATCCTAGAATTGTGGCTGATAAACTTTCTGAGAGTGAACGTGGTTACAAAGAACAGGATGGTAGGGAGACTGGATGTTTGACAATTGGAGGAATTTAGTTTCTTGCCTGATTCTTGGAGACCTTGAATAACTGTGGCTTACTCATTGAAGTTGCTGGTAGATACTGTTACTAATGTTCATATCTAGGACTTGAGAATACTGAAGGAAAATTATCTAGTATAGTGATTTTATCAATATGGTGTTTTTACTAATCTGAGACCGTTTTTTTTGTTGACGATTTTGCTGTTGTTTATATTGGGACTAGAACTGTATTATTTTTCAGATAAAACTCATTTTATATGAAAATAGGATAATTTCCCCCATCTTTGATTATGTTATCATTGATTCGATTATGTTGGAATCCTCAGGAAAAACGCAAAGAAACTGTAATTCTCCTTATGGGAATTACAGCTACTGTATGCAGTCCATGTTCCTATAATACCTGGACTTTGTCTAGATGTACTTGCCTATGTTGAACCTTCCTATTATTTTAATGATCAGCTTTATTGCTTCTTCAATCCAGGCAGTGAGTAAAAGCTCCCTATTTGTAAAGCTCTTCTTCTGTATTGTTTAAGAGATAAAATAAGATGTCTAGCACTAGGAAGCAATCTTTAAAGTTTTCTATCCATACCTTTTCTATCTGGAGAATTTCTTTGTATCTTTCATCGCTGATCTTCAGAAACAAGCCTCCATCCTCAGATAGGGTTGGTTGTGTAACCTCAAAACTTAGTTATGTAAGAAGTTCTCTAACCAACTGAGTGAAAATCTCAAAGAAAACTGTTAGAGTGATCTTCCACTTTACAGAAGCCTTGTTGCCATTGCCCAAAGTCATTTTATCTTAAATGTTTAATCCTTTTAGATATGTTGTCTAGGTCAGTCAGTGCAGTTACTTTCGTGTGTTTTTTATTTTCTTATTTGTATTACTGATAAGTTCTTAGATCTGATTTTCTTGGTCCTTTTGGGATTACCTTCTAGTTCTTCCTATCTCCCTCTCCTCTCCTATGATGAGCTAATTATCTTCAACAGCTTTTGGGCTTTCACATATTGACACTTCGAAGCGCAGAGTGCGGAGGAATATTAAATACTTTTTTGAGGTCTGTCTGAGCTTTGATGTATCTTTTGAGTTTTGCCTTGGAATATCGGTCACGGTGGAAAATGTAAATCAGGTTGGAAAGTTGACGATGTCACCAGGGCTTATGAACAAAAACTTTATATTGAATCCAGGTTTATTTTACATTTGATTTCATGATTCAGAACCAAAATTGAGGTCTAGAACTCTGTTTCAAATTTCTTTGGAGCAGTGTTTCTCAAGGAGTTTGAAAATGTGTGGGGCACTGTTGGTGTTGGAGTGGCTTGGGGAATGTTATTGGCATTAATGGAAGGGAGCCAGAGATACTCTATGTCCTGGAAGTGGGGACAGTCCTGTACTGTGATGTTTTATCAGAACTTCCTATGCTGGTAGCATCATGATTGAGAAACCCTAGGGATGAAGCAAAGTTTATGCCAAATACGTTCATACCAGGTAACATTAGGCATATTCATGAGTTAAACTGAACAGTATCCTTTGTGTTCTTGTTTATTTTTTGAGGTATAGTTGATGTACAATAAACTGCACATAAAGTTTTCAAGTTGATAAATTCGGGTGTGTTACACTCGTGAGCCCATCACCACAGTGAAGATAGTGAATATATCTATTGCACCCAGAAGTGTTCTCTTCATAATTTCTCCTGTTTCTCTCCCAGCCCCAGCAACCTCTGACCTGCTCTCTATAACTGTATATTAAGTTGCATTTTTTAGATTTTTATATAAATGAAATCATACAGTGTGTGCTTTTTTTTCTGGCTTCTTTCAGCATAATTCATTCTTGTCATTGTGTGTTATTAACTTTTTAAAAAATCGCTGAATAGTGTTCCATTGTGCAGGTATACAGTAATGTGTGTATTCATTCACCTGTTACTGGACATTTGGATTGTGTCCACTTTGGGACTCTTAAAAAGAAAGCTGATTAGGAAAATTTACTTACAAACCTTTATGTGGACGTGTGCTTTCATTTTTCTTGGATAAAAACAGATGTTGAGCTTCTTTTCATGTGTTTATTTGCCATCTGTGTATCTTTATTTGGTGAAGCGTCTGATCAGATCTTTAGCCTATTCTTAAAAATTAGGTTTTTTATTAAGTTGAGTTTTCAGAGTTTTTTATATATTCTGGATACAAGTCCTTTATTAGATACATGCTTTACAAATATTTTCTCTCTGTCTGTGGTTATCCTTCTATTATCTTACTAATGTCTTTTGAAAAACCAGAAGTTGTTAGTTTTGCTGGAGTCTGTTTATTGATTTATTCTTCTGTGTCTTATGTTTGGTGTCACTTTAGAAATCTTTGTCTAGCCTTAGGTTGTAAAGATTTTCTCCAGTGTTTTCTTTTATAAGTTTTATAGTTTTAGATGATACATTTAGATCTGTGATCTGTTTTGAGATAATATTTGATATGATGTATGGGTTAAAGTTAATATTTATTTTTTGGCAAGTGGATTTCACTTGTTCTAGCATCATTTGTTGAAAAGGTTATCTTTTCTTTTTTGCACCTTTGCCAAAAATCAGTTGTTCTTACAGAACAAGTCCTGAAATCAGGTATTGTTGGCCCTCAACTTTGTTCTTTTTCAAAGCTGCTTTGGCTTTTGTAAGCAGTTTGCACGTACATTTTAGGACAAAACTGTCAGTTTCTACAAAAAAAAACTACTGGCATTTTGATTGGAACGGCTTTGAATCTATAGACCAATTTACCACTTGTTTAGGTCTTTTAATTTCTCTCCGCAGTATTTTGTAGTTTACCTTGTACCTGTTATCCACCCATTTTGTCAACCTTACCCCTAAGTATTTACTATTTTTTGATACTGTCGTCAAAAAATGTTGTTTTTAAAACTTGCTCTCCAATCAGGTCTTATCCAATAAGCATGTGGCTCCTGATCATCTGTTGCAAATCTGCCAGCGCATCGGCCCAATGCTGGATAAAGAAATTCCACCCAGTATTTCAAGAGTCACTTCTTTACTTGGTGCAGGAAGGCAGTCTTTGCTACGTACAGCAAAAGGTACCTTAATTTGAAGAAGTGTTCTGCTTTGTATTCCTAGCTTAATAATTATTATAATTGTGAAGTAATGTAAGCTTTGTGGAAGAAAGGTGATATGTAACTAAAAACCATGCTGTGGACTATAAAATTCTCTGCATTTAGCATAGACATTGAATTTTATTACATCAGTGTTTAATGGGTCCTTCTGCATTTAAAAAAATGATAAAGGTATAGATGTTAAGCTTAAAAGCTTGAATTTATTCTGAGATGTGTTTGAGGTTTTATCAATGTGAGTTCTTAATTTTCCATTTTGTAGCTCACTTATAACTTCATTGAATGTAATTGTATGTGTCTAATAAACTCTTTAAATGCTAGAAGTATTTCATTTGATATTTAGATTCTGCAAGCCTTTTGTTAAAAGGGACATGATTTTCTAAATTTGGTAGCAGTTTGAAAATGAGCACCAAAAATGTACAATTGCATGGTTCTTTTTTCACCAGTTTAATTTTTTTGCGAAATTATGTGGTAGCAAAATGTTTGGAATTGCTGTTCTTTTTCTGTTAGCTTGGTATAAATCGCTTAGACTAAGTACCTGTATGTGATGTGATCTATGTATACAACATGGCTTAACTGCTAACGGGCAAGAATGTTGGCTCTTCTGATCCTGGGCGTACGTCAAGTTCATCCCTCATGATTACTTTTAAGATCTGTTGCTGATGTGATGCTGCCTCTTAGATGCACCACCAGTATAAAGCTTGACTGAGAAAGAACAACCCCTCCCTCTTGGTTCCCTGCCAGACTGGTTTGTCAGCTTTAGTTGTTTCATAGTGCTCCGTGGTCATGCCACACTGTGGCTTGCATCAGGAAACTGTTCATATTCTTCCTTTTTCTGTGTTCTTATTCAACTTGTAATTATTCTATTTTAGGTTGTTACATAGTAGTTGCCTGGGTAGCCTGTTTTCCTCTGTTTTCTTTACTTGTGTCAAGCTCAATGTCGTTTTGTGATGAGCACTGCTTTAGAACTGGCAGACATTAGAAGAGACTTCAGCAAGCTGTCCTAG